TAGATTATATTTATGGGCTTAGTTATATATTGCTAAAATATTTAAATTGTGTTTAATAATCTATATATCTATTATAATAGAGATAAATTTATTTCCATTAATCTATTTGAAACTCTACAACATACAAGTTTTCTAATTTATTTGTATTGATGAGTTCAAGTTTAAGTTAATTGATCAATATAACTCAAGAGATTTTTCTAACTTATAGTTATTAATTGAGATTTTTTATTTTCCTCTAGTTTATATATATTGTAATTATATTAGCAGTGTATAAATAGATTTTCATCATAAATTTTTTAATGTGTTTAGACATATTTCTACTATTCAAATATAAAGAGTTGAAAAATAAATTTTGTCACATCAAAGGTTATTAAGCCATGAATTTTTCTTGGAATAATAAAGTTTCTATGTATCAAATCTATAGCTTATTATATAAAATTTGTTTATCTAAATTTATATGGATAATAATATTTAATATTTTATAACTTCTTTAAGAGATATGCATCAAATCCATCAAATTAGTTAATTAATATTAAATAAGCGAAAAACAAAAAAATCCTCTCTACCTAAAATAAAATATAACCATAAAATTACATAATAACTAATAATAATAATAATAAGTTTGGTTTATAAATCCATTAGTAAAGACATTTCATCAATAATTTCCCTCTATTTTTTTTTTCATTAAATTCTTATTACTTGGTTTAATTTTTTTTAGAACGGCAAATAATATTAAAGTCACCCGATAAGCAAGTAGCTACAAGGGGACAAAAAAGAGACATTACATAAAGTGAAAAATAGAAACAGAAACAAAACAGGGAATTACAGAAATTGAAAGTGATTATACCTCCACGCCTTCCATTTACAAATACCATCCTTGCCCCTGCACTTAATCGAGTGATACACCATTGCTTTAATGTTATCTGCTCCTGCATTAGGATTAATGAACTTTTGTTAGAATAATCTTTTGTTCCTGAATTTCCATAGGCACCACAACAGGCCATAACATATGATTATTAATCTCCTTCTCAGCTTCTCTTCCGAAGGCTGCTTCCACAGTTGTATGTAAAACTAAGTAGATCTCCTATACAACTAAATTTGGGTAAAAAATAACCCGGTTTGGATAAATTCGGGTCTTATGCACATCCACATCAAAATGGAGATGTGATAATATAAATTATTTTTGTTGTGCAGCCTCACGACTAGTTCGCTCATCTATAGGATTCCTTATGGTTTTGGCAGTGCAGTAAGGTAAATTTGGATCAAAATAATTAATCCATATATAGTTTAATTAATTATATGAACTACAAATTTATGTTGGTCTATTTTAATTACACGTGTCAAATTCATTGTTGAAGCACAAGAGTTTCAAACGAGTTAGGAGCCGGGCGACCTCAGGCTGCACACCGGGCTGCACATGTTGTGATGCTTGTGGCCATGACCGAAGGGTTAGTGGTTAGCTTCCTTTTAGTTGTGGTTCGTGACTTATGGGGATATTTGTTTACGTATGAAGTAGAAGTTGTGAGTTATCTATCATCTATAATGCCGATTCTTGCACTTTCCAACTTTTGTGATGGAATTCAGGGGGTACTTTCAGGTTAGAGTTTCTAATTAATTGAGGAATAAGCTATAAACATAAACAAGAAATTTCAGTATCTTGAGTTGAAATTGCCTATGTTATCAAATCATGACAATTTTTACACCTACTATTCACTTCGAGGTGGAAAAAAATGATACCACCCTGAAGTGCTTTTCGGTTAACTCTCGTGTAGTGGCACGAGAGGCTTCTGTTGAGGGCAGTCCAACAGTAGACTGCTCGTCGGTGGTAAATCGTAATAATTAAAACTATAAAGAAAACCCTTAAAATTTTACTTATGTGGGTATCCATTGATAGACCGAATGATATTATATTATTTATCTATGTTTTATTTATTAAATTTAATTTTTATCTATGTTTTATTTACTCAATTTAACGTTTATTTTTTTTACAATCAATTTATGCATTATCGTAAAAAGGTATTCTAAGAGGATGTGGATGGCAAAAGACCGGTGCTTTTGTGAATCTTGGGGCATATTACCTTGTTGGTCTTCCTTTTGCAATCCTTTGGACTTTTGTCTTCTCTTATGGAGGAAAGGTAAGAACAAGATTTTTTGATGTTGTTATTGTTAATCATTTCGGTTGTGCTTATCTTGGTTGTACTCTTGGCTTCGATGTAGGGACTCTGGATGGGAATCATCGGTGGGAGCGGCATCCAAGCATTACTTTTCATCTATATTGTCATGCATACAAATTGGGATCAAGAGGTACACACATACACTATTATAACAACTTGGATTACATAGATAAAGTATTCATTGCTAAGAGCATCTCCAACCCATACAAGTATACAACCCTCATACCAATCCACCTCACAATTCCACTTATATACAACTTACCCTTCAAATCCCTCCAACCCATACACCGCTCATAATAATCCACCTTACATTCTTTAGATGTTTATCACTAAAAAGAACAAGAAAAATAAAACTAATTTCAACATAACCATTGTATGATCATATAACTCCACACTCTATCTCATAACTCTACAATATATACCACACCCATGCAACTCTACCCGACCCCATACAATCCGTGTGCTATCCCCATTGGAGATGTTCTTAGTATTAGTTATAACTTTGGATTTGAGGTGTTATATTTTCTTCAACCTTTTTAGTTTTTAGATTGAAGATGATAAACTAGAACTAACTTCTAGCTCTTATATCAGGCCAAAAAAGCTCAGAATCGGGTCCACTATACTAGCTTGCCCAAGTGATAATTAATCGTGCCCTCACTTGTGTTTAGCTGCTTCCTTCGCTATATAGTTTCGAGGGAATGTTGCAAAGTATACAACTATACAAGTACATGGTACAATGATGATTCTAAAAGGTTAAAGTAACTTTGTCAGTGATGATTCAATGTGGTTGGCAAGGCCGCTTTCAATATGTAACTTTCACAAATATTAGGATGTGGACTACATTATTATAAGTTCATATAAACTGAATTAATTATAGTTAATAAATAAAAAGAGCACTTATTTATTAAAAAGGACCGATTGGAATGAAAAAAAAATAAAATGAATGAATGAAACAACTAAACGAGTTTAAATGGCGAAAGTTTTTAATACTAATGGAATTGTCCAAATGAGTTGACACTCAAAAGTTGTAGTCGACTCACATATTTAGGCAAAGGGCTACTTTTCTTTGGTCCAATGTGATCACGCCAAAATCCACTAGTTTCCCGATTTTATGTTTACCTCGTTTTTTGAGATTTTGGGAAGTTTGTTTTCCATTCGCATTTTGAAGTAACTAATGTAGAATTGGAAAATAACATGTTATCTTAAGTAAAAAACGTTTCACAAGTAATACATGTAGAAAAGTATGTAGAAAAGTAGAAGTGACAAAATATTGAATAGATTAATTAAAAGATAAAGATTAATAATTTGAAATATAAGTCACAAAATGATTGTACTCGCATACAAATTGATGTTTATTATCTATTTTCAAATATTATTTTTGAAATTATTTAATTAGTTATAAGGTTTTTCGGTTTTAATTGGAAGATAGTTTTTTCCCCATTGGAAGCGCAATATTATATTACTATTAACTACTATCAAAAAGCAAGAGAAAACAAATTACAATGACATAGTAGCTAAGGTTGTATTATAGTAAATATTTTACATCAAACAATCTAGTTCATCTTATAAATTTGCTATTTATCAAAAGTCTAGAAAAAAACTAAGAAACTATTTCATCAAAAATGTATGTTTGTGTGGTTTAACAGTTTAAAAGAGAAGATTGTTCTAAAACTTTCAAACTACCCAAAAGGTAGTGATAATCAAAACATTAAAACATTTGCATTGTATCCTATTCAATTTCAAATTGTCTATCCTATTTGATCCGAATTTAACAGATAAAAATTCCATTATCGAGAAATAAGTCTCCAAATGTCCACATAGGCAATTAGTTAGTTGTCAATCTTTGTAAAAATTATATGGCTCACAATTTGTTAGTCTGAGTAACAATTAGTTAGCTGTCACAAACATAGACTATTTTTTTTTACATATATAGTAGCTGAAAAACTAGTTTCTAGTTGAAAACTAGTTGATATAGCGGAAAGATAAATACTAGCTTATAAACTATCTAATAAAAATATAATAATTTGTAAAAAGTAATTGATAAGCTAACAGAAAAATATAAAATGATATAAAAACATTTATGATAATGAGTTTTCTATAACTAATTAAAGATTAAAGATTTAAAGGTATATTTAAAATATTAAAAAAAAACTCATGTAACCTATCAAAAGCCTTAATTTAACGTCAAAGCTATATTATAAATTCTAGCAATAACAGTGTTATAATGGTAGAATTTACTAACCATTATTATGAACATTATGGTTGAAATGTTAACTATTCATAAGTATAATGTTAGTAGCCCAACATAGTTAGTTGTCTTTAACAAACTTAATTTAGTTTCAAAGTTAGTTATATAAAAGCATCCCTTTTGTAGGTATGTATGGTTAACCTTCATTATGAAATGAAAATTCCCTGTTCTCTCTGTTCTTAATTATTCTAAAATCCATCAAATTAAAAATTACATATGAAAACAAAAACTATATTATTACATTGATAGTATAATAATTTCAAGAAATAATCAGGATATTATAACATAAAAGATTAAAATAGATCAACTTCAACTCCACAAATTCAATCCAAGTTAATTTATTTAGGCATGATTTTTAATTTTGAGATATTCGGACTACAAATAGTATGGTCCTTCTCACACAGTACACAATGTATGTCGAGAAAAGTGATAAAAAAATGTTCTTTTTCTCTATGAAAGTCGCTGTCCTTTTATCACAAAATCAGATGATTAAGAGCGTATTTGCCAGATCTTAATTATAAAATTAAAGTTGGTGTGATTATTGCCAACCAGTCCATGTGCAAATAAGCCGATACCACATGGATACTAATTCTCTCCTCCATCCTCATCTAAAAAGCAACATTCTTCCTTCTTCTTTCTTCAACACAATTTTCATCTCCTCCCCAACATCACATTCTCTCAGCTCCCAGATGATCGCCAGATCGAAAACCACTGCATCATGCTTGTTCTTTGTGCTTCTTTCATTGTACATCGTCATGTCTCATGATTCCGATCACACTGGATCACGGCGGTCGTCATTCCAGATGTGGTCTATGATCGCAGGTGGTCTGTTGATTGCAGGTTTGATGGCAGTTATGGTGAGAGCCACCATCGTGACGTGGACCATGGTGCTGGTTATGATGGCTTTTGCAGGGAAACGCCGCCGTGTACTGGCCGTGGAAGGGAGGAAGATCACCGGAGATGTTGCAATGCATTTGTTGAAAGTCATGATCAAAGAGAGAAGCATTGTTGCTGTTGCTTGTGCTACATTTTTGAGTTCCATGGCCATGGTTTGGGTTGCGTGAACCATAAGTCCACCAAACTCGCAGTTATACTTTTCCTTTCTCACCGAAAGAATTGGTTTTTATTTTATTTTAGGGTAGTTTGCGATAAATTAATATAGATATTTATTTTTGTATTGTAATTGGGGTTTCCATGTAAAGTTTGTATATATCCGTCAATTTTGTATAAAATGTTCTATTCGAGTTGTCAAATCGAATGATCTTTATATATATAAACAATAGGTCAGAAGCTCATGAACTACATGACTTGATTAAAACAGAAAATAAATAAGAATAAAAAACATTTAAGATTTCTATAAAACGATATTTTTCGATATGATCGAACTGAAGGTATTTTAATAGGCGTATTATGTAGGTTTATTGTATTTTTTTTTTAACATATAGTTACAAGGAAAATATTATGGTATGATATGACATGAATTAGAAAACAAAAAAATCAGGTGAGACCATGTTTAACACCGTACTAAAACAAATTCGTCTGCAACAATAAACTGTTTGTTTTCCAAGAAAGAACAATTAGAAACAGTTGAGACCCCCGAAACCTTGCTATGGTTTTCAGTTATATTTTTGAGAGTTTTTAGTTTATTTTTTCATTGGCCTTATTAAATGATTTAATTAAAATTTTAGAATTGGTTTAAATCCGGTGTCCTTCAAATTAGGATTTTTAGGTGTTTATAAAACTTCTAGCTTTTATTTTTGTAGCATACTAGTTCCTTTCAAGTTTCTTCACAACGTTATTATTATTCTTATTATTTTGAATAACTTAAATATATAACAGTTATATATAAGTGGGCTGAAAAGCGAGGGGCGATATTGGCGATGGCGATGGCCCTCCCTAGCCCCAAAGGGTTCCCCTTCCGCATGTGATAGGAGTACAAGGGCCATTTTGATGAACAGATAACATGTGCCTCAACCTCTTAAAAATAATAAATTTGTACTAAATAAATAAAATCTAGGATTAAAGACATAACCAAACTATATAAAAATACCTACTTACTAATACTTACTAAACGTGGCGCATAAAAAAAACACACCATAAAAAGGTTCGAAGCTACTAAACTGAAAAATACTATCGAGTCTTGAAGATATTTTATTAATTTATAACCCTCATTCCAACCTACCAATGAACAGTAGGTACTCTTGGATCATGAAAATCCTGCATAACACCAAATAAGTTTTATGTTTTATAAGTTTTTTGGCAATTTAGATATGGCTCACTTTATTATGAATTTGGATTGCTCCAAAGATTGGAACTTTACCTTGATTCGAACCAATTGGTTCCAACTGCACCAGTTTTGATGGAACTGCAACACTATTAGAGGAGCTCACAATTCCAATAGGTTTCTTTTCACAAACTTCATTGTCTTGATCCATATTGGTATTCACAACTTCGACTTCTGGGTCTAATTTGTCATTGCACACAACAGGAGACTTGTCACTGAAAAAAGAAGTCGGAGAGAGATCCATTCTGACGTAATCGGCAGCATCATGTCCCGTTTTCTCGAAACAAGTGCAACACAGATCAACAATAATATTCCTATACAAAAAGAGTAACGATTCAAGAAATAACCAAAAGTATTTAGTAATATGTATACAAGTACTCTAACAAGCTTCAAAAGAACTTACGATTTTGATATGAATCGGGGTCCAATTATGGGACAAACTCCACACCCATTACACGTAATATCCTCATGGATTGTTAGAGTGCCTAAGCCTTTACTATCGATATAGCCCTTCTTAAGAGGAGAGACACAAGTCCCACAAGGACATGAATGCACGATTGAGTCATTAGATAGAGGCATCCCGATGAATGGGCATTCGTTAAGGTTTACACAAGTCTCAAAATCAACGGATTTTCTCAGTTTGGCATTGTCATCATGTGAAGATGCAGCATCAGAGCCTTTAACAGTTTTAGACTCAGAATAAGGAATAACATTAAGATGTACATTTTCAAGAACTCCATCTTTCTTCACCGTTTCAACCTGCAAAGCTTCGTTGTTTGAGTATGAGCTTCCGTCTTTACATGGTAATAATGCGTCAGATGCTTCTTCAATCTTCAATCCCTGTTGATCACCCATTATGTTTTCCCATGCAACGTCAAGCAAAAGCTTCAAAAGTGCATTATGTTGTCGCTCTGGCACAAATTTCAAGATCAAAGAAACCGCAGAGTTCAAGGAATTGATTTGAAGTTGGTCTTGTGTTGATGTAAGAGAAGATTTAGGATTCAATGTTACAGTCATCCTTAGTGGATTCAGAGATTGAGCCGCAAGATCATCGAGATCATTGTCGTCACAAAGAGTGACTATATCTCCATCCTCATCGATGTAAGTGAGTGTAAAATCAGCATCAAGATCTAGACCGAAGAGGATGCAGATCTTCTCCCTCAACATGTCCATGTCAAAATCTAGAAGATCTTCCTCATAGATGCGCCTGAGTGTGTCTCCAAATTTAATCTGCACCAAACATAACACGTATTTGAGGATTTTTTTAAAGTATATGTAGTCAAATCAACTGGTTTTCAAAGAAAACCATGCACACCATGAAAGTCACAAAAATCCATGACATACTTGCATAATGGTAAAATTGTATACGAGACTCATGCCAATTGGGATAGAACCCGAAAACCACAAAAGTAAAATCTAAATCTTCTAAAACTAAAATACAACTCTCAAGAAACTTCAATTCACATGAGGTTCATCTAAACTACAATTAACGTGAACTCTTAAAGAGCGTGTGAAAACACTAAACGTACGTCTAGCAAAGTACGCCGATATTTTACTAATATGAGTGCGACACTCAATCACACTTATGAAAACAGAATGAGAATTCGGTGGAGTAATTCAAAAAGAGAAGAAGAAGAAGAAGAAGAAGAAGAAGAAGAAGAAGAAGAAGAAGAAGAAGAAGAAGGATATAGCTGAAAACAAACCTTGATTACAGTTGCCATGATGAGAGAGGACTAAAAACCCTACAATGAAAAGACGGTAGTCGATGGAACAGAAATATATATAGCTAAAGCGAACTGTTGATCGCTATCTGTAACTGTAATCCTAGAGATATCCGCGATTCTGTAGATTATAATTATATTCAATATATATGCATAGAAATATTAATATTTAACTTCAAAATGTAAATTGTTACCATTACAATAATCATATAAATTTGAAGACTCCTAAAACAAAATTAATATTAAATACGTTGTTTAGTTTATGACTAATGTTTACTTTTTTTTTTATTCATAATGATGATTTATAGAAATAACAAATTTCAAAAAATTTACAAATGGTCCTTTAGCTTTTTTGTTTGTCCCTAAAAGGGTTTTTATGAAACTTTTTTTTCATGGATGATCCCTAAGAAACAAACATTGCACATAAATGATCCTTATGACTAACACCGCTAGTTTTCTGTTAAATATAATATGAAAAGACTAAATTGCCCCTCTTATATTTAATTGTTAACCGCTGCCCTTATCTTTCTCTCTTAAATCCACCAGACTAACCTTCATCTTCCTTCGTTCAAACCTCAAATCCTTATAAAAATCGAGACACACACATACACACACTCCAAAAAATCGGCATCCCTCTCCCCACTTACAAGAAAACGATGATGAACCAGAGACTTGGAGAATATAACAAATTAGGATTAGGGTTTCTTTGTTGTGCCTGTAGATGATGATGATGAGTGTGATGATGATGGTTTGGGTTGTGTGATGATGATGATTAGGTCAAAACGAGGGCTAATAAACAGAAGGTGGTATTCGGTTGCGGTTATGATGGTTGAAGAGAAGACGAAGAAGGAGACTATGTGAGGTCTATGTTGAAATGGAAATGGAATGGTCTTGATCGCTTCTTCGATTTGTGCTATTTAATGGGTTTTTTGGATTTGGGACCTTTGGATATTGATTTTGGATATGAACTTGTGGGTTTTTATTCACTTGATGGTTGGAGTCTGAATTGAGGTGTCGACATGGAGAGATGAGAGTAGGAAAAAAAGAGCTCTGACCACTCTCTTGTGTCTTGTTGTAACATACGTTTTCCTAAATGGATCGTTTTAGGGTTTCAAGGAGTGAAAAGGTCGTTTTTGGAAGATATGGAGTCTCACGACATGGGTTAAAATGTAAATTGTATCCAGAACTAATTTCACGATGTGAGGCATAGAGGCTCACAACGTGAGAACTGCTGCATCCCAAGCTCATGATATTTAGTATTGCTGATAGCTCCAGTGCTATTATTATATCCTATGACGTATGAGATGTTTTGGGAACTCACTAAGCATTGTGCTTATAGTTGTGGATTAAACATTTTGCATGTACTTGTTGGATTGCGAATACTTGATTGTACACACACATCAGAAGCTTTATGATTTGAGATTTCGCACTGTCTTTGTAACACCAGTGACTTGAGATAATGATAATTATTTAATCTCTTTATAATTAATTGTTGGACCATGAGATTAATATTGGATTTTTGAGTTCGGCCTTAGTGAGTGGGGCGTTCTATATTGGGCTGACTGAAGGCGTATGTTGGGCGTAAGCTTGACGTATGTGAGGCGTAGTGAAGACATTGGATGCGGTGGGTTGATGCGCGTACGCGTAGCGTACCAAGGAGTACGCATCGCGTACGCGATCTGACTCAAAACCTTAATTTTAGGGTTTAAGCCATATAAATACCACATTATCTCCCAAACCCTAGCCTCCTTACCAACCTCTCAAACTTAGAAACCCTATAAAGCCTACCATTCCTCGTCTTTGTGTGATTTTGTTATTATGAAGCTCATTGTGGTGGTTTGAAGCTTGGAAGGAGAAAGAGGAAGTTGGTGAAGAAGAACTTGAATAACATGAGCTCAAGGATCTGAGATATCCTCACCATTTAGCACTCATTTATGGTCCAAATCCGTTTGTAGGCTCGGGGTTGCCACCCTTAGTGCTATATGAGTCCCAAGAATAGAAAAGTTTCCATCTTGAAGGTCTTTTTGTGGCCATGCATGAGTTTTAGTTATTTCCATGGAAGTTAGTTGCCATATTTCAAGTTTGGGTCCATTTGGCGGGTTGCAAGCCACCAATTAATTGACTTTATTTGTTAAGACACTTTGTTGGACTCAGATATGTGTTTGGAGCTTAAGGTCTTATGGGATTAAGCCTTTTTGGAGTTTATGGCTTAACAGGGTAGTACGCTGGTCGTACAAGCCCGTACATGCAGCATACAAGCCATGAAAGATGTACACTTAGCGTACAGAGGAGTACGGCCCGCGTACCCACTTGATATGGGTTTTCGTCATTTGGGCCGATCTTTGGACTTCTTAGCTATTGGGCCTTAGTAGGTAATTAGAAGTCAGTTATTGGGTTAAGGACATGTTTGGGCTTAAGGGAACGCCCATTTGAGAAGTTGGGCCCAATTTAGAAAATTGGGCCATAAGTGGGCCATTAGTGGGCTTGGAAAGGCTATATAGAATTGGACCATGGATCTTATGGAATTGGGCCTAGGTTATGGTCCAAATTAAATCAGGGGGTATAATGGTTATTTTACCCTAAGAATGATTATTGGATTTTGACTAAGTGTTATTTTGGTAATGATAGCTCGGGGAGTCGTTAGAGCAACCGTTAGAGATTCCTTACCGTGAGATTCTGCATTCAGCTTTGCGAGGTGAGTTTCCTCCTGTAGGAACACGTCGAAGGCACCAATGTGGGCCCGTTTATGTATGTTAGTATGTTCCGAACTAAGGTCCAATGCCGGGCAGTACCTGATGTAGATTTATATGTTTTCGGATTCCGATTCGATGTTGAGCGGTGTCCGAGAAATGTTTGTATGCTTGATGTCTTCATGATTCTTGCATGTGTTTGTATTGTATGTTTCTGGATTACATTCCGATGTCAGGCAATGCCTGATGAATGTTTGTATGCTTCTGGATTTCATTCCGACGTCGGGCGGGGCCTAATGCCAGGCAATGTCCGATGCCCGGCGGGGCCCGATGAAGTGGCGGGGCCCACGATATGTTTATATGTGATTATGTGCTTATGTTTATGGTATGTGGTAGTTTGGGGAGACTCACTAAGCTTCGTGCTTACAATTTTTGGTTTTGATTTCACATACTTTCGGTATAAAGGGAAGAGCTCAGGATGACTGCATTATACACACCATGATGTTTCAGCTTGGGATGTTTCAGCTTGGCATGGGTTGACTTTTTGTTAAACTGAGAATTTTGGAGTGCAGACTGAGAGAGTACTCTTTATTGTTGTTAGGTGCTATGTAGGATCAGTTGGGTGAGAGATGTGGTGTTTAGCTACTACTTGAAAGGCGATTCCTCTCACTATAATTACCTGTGTGGTAGTATATGTTGACCAACTAGGCCTTATCTGTTGATTGTTGTTGTATGTAAATTGGGTTGCTAATAACTCCTAGACTGTTGTAAGTCAATGGGACCGCTGGTAGTCCCTAGGGTTAATGATAACCTGTGAGGTGTGCTGTTAATCAACATGGCATGTTGTGATCCTACAGGGACCACTGATAGTCCCTAGGGTTACTGAAAACCCACAACGGTTATATTGTGTGTTGTATGTAATATTCGGTATTGCTGATAGCTCCAGGTATATTGTTATATCGTGTGCTATATGATATATTTGGGGAACTCACTAAGCTTTATGGTTATAGTTGTGGATTAAACTTTTTGCAGGTACTTGTCAGATTGCGAAGACGTGATTGTACACACACATCAGCAACTTTATGATTTAAAATTTTGCACTGTCTTCATTAAAACTCTAATTTTTTGAATAATGGTCCATGAAAAAATGATTCATTTGGAATGTTGCTTTATTGAAAACAGATGTTATATTATTTTAAAAATGAAAATTTTAGCTTGGGCTGTTGAGACGTTACACTTGTACTATTGAATGAAGATGGTGGCAGGTTGTGTCGTGGTGTTTAATGGCGATGGTAGTGGGTAATAATTTGATCATCAAATTCATCATCACCATCCTTTGAGTATATTCCTTTACGATCAACATTCTTGTTTGTGGTTAGACTATTAGAACCGGTTCTCCTTTTTTCTTGCTTTTGTGTGTGTGTGTGTGTCTACCCCCTTTGTGCATTTATAACTCTGAGAACCAAGAAATAAAAACACATATTTTCTCATTGTATTCCCTTCAAGTTTAATCCCAAGTTTGTGATGGTTTGTGATGCCTTGGGTATTTCTATCTTCAATGGTTTGTGTGTTTGTATTTTGATGGAAGAAAAAAGAAGTTGTAGCCTTGGAATCCAAGAAAAATGATGATGAACAAGGGATTTTTTGTGTTTCTCTTCTTTTGTGTCTATAGTGTGGTAATGGAGAGAGAAAGAGAGAGATATAGAAGGGGGAAAGTTATTTATCATAAAAAAAAACAAAATATTCATTAAGGGTATATTAGTAATTTCATATCGGTTTAACTAGACATTTTAAATAAATTTAGTCAATAGGACAAGTTTTGGGACAAATTTAAAACTAAAATAACCATTATATGTAAGGCTTGCTCTGTAGGGATCATCGATGTGAAAAAAGTTTCATAAGCACCACTTTATGGACCAACGAAAAATCTAAAGGACCATTAGTAATATTATCTAAAAATAAACACATTATTCATATAGAATCCTTTGTTATTCATATTAGACTAAGCTGCAAATTTGGTCCCAGTAGTTTTTAAAAAAATTAAGGATAGGATCCAAAAAAATTTCAACTTGCACCACTAGTCTAAAATCATAAATTTTTGATGACTTTAGTCCCACTCAAACCTATTTTATGTGTATTTGGTCCAAACCCTACTTAAAATTACTAATATACCCCAAAAATGATTTTTATTTTCATCTTTCATTTATTTCCTTATTTTATTAATATTAAAACAAAGTTAAAATCCAGTTACACCCCCATCCTTAACCGTACGCCCATGCATTTTTTCTTTCTCTACTTTCCAATGGGTATACCTCTGTGTTCA